ACTATTAGAACTGGAAGGAACCTTAGAAAGCATCAGTTCAACATTTTCCAAAATATGTTCCAAAAATGATTTAGATCCATGTGATACCTTGCTAAAAACACAAGTATTCAGTGGTCAAGTACGTTTAGGAAACGGTGCCTGTTCTTATCTCTGAGAACTACGTTTTTACATCAGAAATTTGCTTAATTTCAGTCTATACTTTCCCAATGTATTTGATCTCAAAATCCATGTGCTGGAAAGATTGGATGCAATACCATCTTTTCTTTTTCCACACGAAGAAATGAAGATCTGAAGGAATGAAGTTACTTGCCCGTGATTATCAAAACCCAAGACTTTGGATATTAAGTCCAGAGTGCTTTCTTTTTCCTCACATGGACTCATTGAAAGGAATTCTCATTTAAATTTCTAGGCAGCATCTTTAAGGCAACAGCTGCTTAGAGACAGGCTACTTAAGGGAAACAACACGTTGCCCAATATCTCACCAATATAGAAGGACCCCTGCCCCCATGTCCCCTCACGGGCCTGACAACCTATATTATCACAGGTGACAAATGGGGGAAAGAGAAAGTCAACCACTTAGCACATGCTTTGTCCCCAGTCAGTATGTTTGGGGATCTGCAAGGATATTCTTGAACTCTTCCTCTTTCTATTCAGACATGCCATCAGGAAATTGCACCAATTATGAGTTATCTACATGTGATAAAATGAATTAAACCTAGTAAGTTGAAACAATAAAACTGTTATATCTCACAAAGTATAGGTGTGACTCTGAGAATGGCTTAAATGTAGGATTCTAGTACACATGGTCATAGTCACAATACTTGCCAAGAGTATGGTCATCTGAAGACCTAACTGGGAGCTGGGCCTGGTGGGACGCACCTGTAGCATTTGAGAGGCTAAGGCAGGAAGACCATGAGTTCCAGATCAGACAGAGTGACATAGTGAGACTCTATCTCAAAAAATTAAAGCAAAGCAAACCAACCAAACAGAAAAACTCCTTCTAGAAAAGTCATGTTGAAATTTGATCCTCCTGTGAATTGATGTTAAAAGGTGATGGGACCTTAAAGAGGTGTTTGGGGTTCCTGTGGGCTTTGCCTTCTGTGCATAATGTTTTCAAGGGGTCAGTTAATTCATTTTTTTTTTTTTTGTCTTTTTGGGACAGGGTCTCCCTTTAGTCCCCGCTGGCTTTGCGCTTTCCACGTAAACCCGCCTGGCCCCCTTCTCATTTTTTTTTTTTTGTCTTTTTGAGACAGGGTCTCCCTATAGTCCCAGCTGGCTTGGCACTTGCCATGTAGACCAGCCTGGCCTCATTCTCACAGAGATCCATCTGCCTGCTTCTGCCTCCTGAGTGTGGGACTAAAGGCATGCACCACCACACCTGGCTTGGGGGTCAGTAAATTCTTGAGGGAATGAGGACATTCTTGCTCTCATGAGACTATTAGTTACCATAAGAGTGGATTCTTGGAAACCAAGTGAGATCACCCCTCATGTTTGATCTCATCTACTTACTTGCTTCCCCTCTTACCCTTCTACCATGTTTTGAGGTCTTCTCCTTTCATCTCTCCCCCCAACAAAGTGGAGCAGATGCTAGTGCTCTGTGAGTCCTCAGCCTCCAGAACCATGAACCAAACAAGTTTCTATTCTTTATAAATCACCCAGTCTCAGGTATTCTGTTGACAACAGACAGTAGACTAAGACAGGTCCAGTTTCTGAAGCTGCACACCATCACTTCTGTCCTAGTCGGTATTAGACATGAGCCACTACGTCCAACTCCCACTCAAAAGAGAATTAGGTTCTCTTTTGAAGGGAGAAATGTCAAAGCCACCAATTCAGAAAATGTTCTAGGGATAAGGATGTCAGTTATATGACAAAACAAAATAAAGAACAACCCCCGAGATAAAACAAAACAGATACAACACTGGAGAGTAGACATCCATTTAGGACACAAACAAATGCTAATTAGGAATCTGAGAGGGACTAGGAATTTAAATTTACACAGATCCTGAAGTCCCAACCTGAATCCTTGACACAAATGTCTTTGAATTTCTTGCAATAAAAAAAAACTTCTGAATAAAAGACCTTCAGAGAGAAAATGGCTATTGCTGGCACTGCGGCTGGAAGAATACAGAAGGATTTGTATGAGGGATAAGCAATTCAGAGAGCTTATCCCATGTTTTGACTTAGACCTTTCCAAGCCAACTTTTCCTTTTGTAAGCCTTTGAATTCTGTGAGTGTTGCAGTATCCCAACATGAACAGGAGAATCAAATTCCAGCTCTAGTCTTCACATCTTTTCCCCTCTTCTTCTAAAGATTATATTCATCCCTCTCTGATGTATGAAAGCAAACTATCATGATCTAATTGCCTAAGAATTTATTTCCAAATAGTTGTTGACAGAACCTGAAAGTCTCAGAAAGATCAGACAGATCATATTCCCTCTTCTACTTAAGAATTAAAAAAATAAAAAAAAAAAACCTGATCCCCAAAGAACTTTTCTTTGTGGCACCTGGGGTATTCAGTCAATCCACATGCCTTTCTTGGACATATGATAAAGAGGAAAGAGAGGTTCCATAGGCCTCACATATTAGGGAGCCAAACTGAAAACAGATGCAGATAAATACAGAATCACAAAGGTGGGGCTGAGAGAGGGGAAAGGGGTGAAACTTCATCTGGGCAATTGTATGAGGTAAGGTGAATTTGTTCAGAAATGTTCCAGAAAAGATGAAGCTTGTCTAAACATCTAGGGGATGGCTTGGGAAAAGGCTTAGAGACAAAAGTCTGGAGACTGAATATTTGGGCCATCTATGGGATGGTGAGAGAGCAGGCTGAAATATGTGGAAGATGAGACTGGCAGGGGTGTATGGAAACGGTGGCCAAGGTAGATTTGAGACTAGAGATGCAGCTCAGTGGAGGAGTGCTTGTCTAGCATATGCAAGGCCCTGGGTTCCATCTGTAGCACCAAAATAAATATACTAAGTAAGTAAAATAAAATTTAAGAAATGGATTTAAAGAAGAGAGTCTGTTGTAGTGGGGGAGAGCCCTTTGCAAAGAGAAAAAAAATATTTTTCAGTGGGTCCCCTCTCAAATCAAACTAAAGCAGATCGAAAAACTAAGAACAAAACAAAATCCAAAACAAACAACAAATGCTCTTCAGTTAATGGAGACTCTTAGAAAGGAAGATGTGAGTTTAAGATCTTTCCTCACCTCTTTTCCTCACCATCTAATCACCATTAAGATCAAAAGTCAATCAACTATGTGGAGAGAGACTGCCTCACTAACTGATTCATTCAACAAGTACACAGTGAATGCTTTTGATTTTGAGAGGCAAGTGGGGTTAAGAGAGATGAGGCAAGTCTCCATTTATTCAGGATTGTTTCATCTCTCTGTCTCTGTCTCTGAAATTGTGCGTGTGTATGTGTGTGTGTGTGTCTGTGTGTGTGTGTGTGTCTGTGTGTGTGTGTGTGTGTCTGTGTCTGTGTATTGCTGGGGATCAAACTTGGGCCTTGTTCATGCCAGGCAAGCACTGTACCCCTGAGCTCCAATCTAGTCCCTGAAATCTTTTTCAAGGACACTTACTGTGGTCCTTTTGTGTGTTAGGGATTGTGCCAGGTGCTGGAGATACTGGTGTCTGAAGCGTCACATTGACAGCGGTTATTAAAGCTAAATATTTCTGTTTCTGCCTCTGTTTTTGCATTGCCCAAAGGGAGAGCATTTCTTCTGGAACAACGTGGACAAACGCACAGCAGGTGAAAACCCCATTTGCTTTCCCGCTGTTCTACCAGCTGTGCCACACTGACAATTTCTCCACCTGTCTCACTTCCTGCTCCCACTGATTCAGAACCAAGAATTTTTAGACTCATTTTTTTTTTGATAAAACCTGACTGAATGTGATGAAGTTCTTGGATGGTGAATTTGGAAACAAATGCATTCTACTTCCTGGAAATCTCTATAATCAGTGGAACTTCAATGGTAGAAGAGATGGATCAATCTCTCTGTGTGTGTGTGCATGAGAGAGAGAGAGAGAGAGAGAGAGAAGAAATATCTTGTCATTTTGGGTAAGGAATTGTGGACACAGGCAAGATGAAAAACACAGGCAAAATGACCCATTTGACCATAGAGAGGACAAGCCAGGGCTATGCAAACCTGGCTTGGAATCCAGGCCCTACTCATTAAGCCAGTGGTGACATAACTCACCAAATGCATGCAGCTTTTAATCTTCCTCATCAAGGGGCCTGCTGGCTGCACAACTCATGCATGCTCATCGTGATGGTTTCTGGGTGGTTGACACTCATCACCCTCTGACTTCATTTCTTTTTTCCTTTGCAAAATGGCTATTGCCTGGAGCCAACATCTCTTTTCCAAAAAGTTAACGTGCCAAAAGGAGTTTTGGAAACTGCCTTGCTCTCTCTCTGTCAGGAGCCAGATGATTCACAGCAGTGAACCAACGCACATAACAAGGATACCTGATTGGATTACCAATTAGCCACCTCCACCTCAGGAGGGTGGTTGGAAAGAAGAGAAGAGGCAGTGTTTAGTTTGGGCAGATACCAAAAGGTCTTTATCATCCTCATCAAGGCATCAGCATGGCACACTAGACCTCTTCCAAGCCATTCTGCTGGCTCTCTTGTCTCCAGATGTTCCGGCAAGAGGGAACTTGTTCTTTGAACATAGGGTTATTGTGTCTGGACTACAGAGGCACCCCTGTGTCAATGGGTGGGAGAAGCTGGCTGCCTTACCTCTATTTTTTTTTTTTTTTAGTCTTTTTGAGACAGGGTCTCCCTGTAGCCCCAGCTGTCCTGTCACTATGTAGACCAGACTGGCCTTGAACTCAGAGAGATCCACCTGCCTCTGCCTCCCGAGTGCTGGGACTAAAGGTGTGCGCCACCACGGCCAGCGACTTGCCTCTATTTTTAGTGTTCTCTCTGCTGTTGGGAACTTTTGGAAGCTGTAGGTAGAGTCTTCCCATTTGAAATCAAGCCTGACCTGGAATGTGTTCTCTTACCTTCTCCCAATGGAAGCACCTCTGTTCTGGGGAACACTGGGAGGGACAGGCAGATGTTCTCTTCATCTGGATCCAGCAAGAAATGCTTCAGTATGGGATCTCTGGCATCTTCTTAAAAAGAAGTACAAATACAGGCAGTGTTAGCCAGCACAGGTGAGGGAGGCTGAGCCTTGCTGTGTTCCCTAAATTCCTGGTGGGCACGTGCATGTAAATACTGGTGTGCTCTGTGCTTGCAAGACCTACTCTGGGCACTTGGCAGAGTAGGCCCATTGTTTAGGCTCCGTCTTCTGAAGGCTAGGATGGGATGGTGAAGGAGGGGCCTCGAGTTTATACCATGCCCCTGTGGGAGTCTGGAGAAGGTAGCCCCTTTGGGCACCTTCGGGGCAGGGCTAGGCCAGTGGGGGGCCCATCTCCAGTTGTGCACAGACCAGCCTATGGGCATAGAATTACCTAAGCTTTCCCTCTCAGTCAGATGCTTTTGCATGGCACTCCTCATTCATATCCGTCCATGGACTGGGACCAAATGCTGGGACTATACAGGACCTCCAACTCAGTCTGGAGAAAGAAGTTGTATAACCTTGGCAAGGTATTTCTGTTAACTTATGATGAAAGAAAAACCCTTTTCCCTTCTCAACTTTCAGTCTCAGACAGAACACCCTGACCAGATGTGTGGAGGTGCCCCCCTCACCCCCTCTAGCAGACAACAACAGGGCTTCCTATATTTCAGTTCAATCCTGACACTCTCTACCTGGAGTTAGCATCAGTTCCCTTAGGTTAAAGGCTCAGTTCCACAAGACTGTCTCCATTTCAGCTGCCAATCACAAGGCCCCCTTTGTGGTCTGTGCTTCTTCTGACCCACTAGTTATTAATTGGGGCTTCCATGATTCCCTCCTTGAATATGATACTTTGTTAGGACACTCACAGAACTCAGGGAAGCATTTAAGTTTACCAATAAGGTATACTGATAAAGAATATAGACAGATGACAAGATGCACAGGAGAGGCCTGGAAGCTTCTAGGCCTCTTCTGGGCCTGTGGCCCTCCTAGCACATCCTGTAACTCAAAGGAGGTTTACCAACTCTTACTGTTCAGGAGTTGTTACAGAGCTTGATCTCCAGTGACCCCCTCCCCCTTCCCTCTTCCTAGAGATTGGCAGGGCGTGAAGGTTCCAACTTCTCAGCCCTTAACTACCTGGTCTTTCAGGTGACTAGCCCCCTCTGGAGGTAATTTAGGGGCCTCATTCTATGTAACCCCATTAGCATAAACTCAGTTGTTACCACAGGGGTTCCCCATGGGTAAGAAGAGACATAGCTACCTGTTAGTTCTATGGGTTTTAGATGTGTAACAGGAGCCAGGGATGAAGACCAAATATACTTCACATTATGCTATTCTTACAGCTTCCCTATCTCCAAGGCAAAGGGGCCTATAGTAGGTCAGGCCACCAGCAGGAGTGGATGCCAAGGGTGCATACACACAATTCACTTACATATGCACCAATTTACACGGTCACATAGAGGTACACACACATACATATGCACATATGCATATATATATATATGTATTTTTACAAGACACGCATCACACTCATGCACAAGCAGATTCTTGTGGACCTGCCAGCCAATACATGTCACACATGAACAATGTCGCACATACAGTCTATGATAGGTCTGTATCCACATAATAGTCATACACTATCACACACTTAGACAGACACAGGTGTGCAGCATGCACACAGCACACACATGTGTTCACAAGGCAGAGAAGTACACATACATACTGCCACATACTCAGAGACACATGAGCTCTTACACATGCACTCACACACATACATGCATGCACATACACACATATGCACATACTCAGCATACATACTTGAGACTTCATGACTAGTCATGACTGCCATTCTAGTTTAATTATACTATAGCCTTCCTTTATGAGAAGGTCCAAGAGTAGGTGGGTGTATCAGCTGCTGGGATTTGTGGGATTGGGGGCAGGGAGGAGGGTGAGGGAGGCTGTTGGCTCCCAGGAGTGTCCCTAGTGTAAACAAGACACTCCATCCAGCTTGGGTCATTGCGTCAGAATTAGAAGGGTGTGGATGTTACACAGAGTAAAAGGGGTGAGAAGCTGTGGAAGACTCCAAGGGAAGAGGAAGGATTTGATTTTGACCACCTCAGCTCTCAAACTACAGATGCAGAAAGGAGTTATTGACTTAGATATTTAATTTAAGCTGACAAGAATTCAACTACACATGCTTTGGGGACAGAATGAGAGAGGGAGGAAGAGGGAGGGTGGGGGCAGGGAGTGATTGATTAAAATCCAGACAGCCTGTCCCCAAGGGAGCATTAAAGGAGAGAGGTGCTGTGTCTCCGCGTGGCTCTCAGTACCCCGGTTCTCTCAGTGTGAGTGTGGTTGTGCTGTGAACAAAGATGCCTCTTGCTTTGCACAATCTGTCTTTCCACCCTCGCCAGCTCTTTCATCTGCAGCTCCGCAGAGGGAGTGGCCCAAGGCTGAAGGGGGAGGAAGAGAGGCAGCAGTAGGCCTGAGCTGCACGGACAAAGGCCCGTGGGCCTGTCACACGGAATCTTCCTCGGGGTTTTCAGGGGCAACTCAGCTTCTCAGTGAGCTTCACTTTCTGAACTGCCTTCAGTTCAAAGCCCCGTGGCGGCGGCTCCTGCACTGTCCTTGCTTTTTGCTTTTGGTCTTGGTCCTTCCTCGTGGGGGCGGGGCATCTTTCCTTCCTTTGAACAGGCCAAGGCTGGAGGGTGCTCTCCTTCAGGGAACGCTCCTTGCCCCCAGGGAGGGTGGTGCTGAGTATGTCTACCGAATCCAGTGGTGCGTCCCACGGGAGCTCAGGAGAGCCACTTCGTTATGCGTGGCTGCCGCAATGAGAAAGCAACAAACAGCCTGGCAGTGCGTGTTGGTGCAGCAAACCCTTCAAACAAGTTCTGATTCTAGGCATAAGTGTGAACTTTAATCCCACTGATTCGTGGAAACACCCTTTTCAGTGAGGAACTGTTTCATGACTGCCATGCGGCCCTGGACAGGAGCCACAGACAAGCCAATGTGTGAGTGGGGGTGGGGGTGAGGGTAGGCATAAACCCCAGAATCAGTACCTGGTCCTTCTGGCAGTGCCATCTTATTCAGGGGAACCCTGGGGCTGCTGTGGCCTGACATCTTGGGACTGTTTAGGTCCCTCTTGCTCTCTGGACTTTTCCTTCCTTTTATTGGAGGTAGGAAACCCAGTGGTGGGGCCATCTTCTGAGGCAGGACATCACCATCTTCAAAAGCAAACCGCAAAAAAAAATGAAACTTCTGAATCAGTAGGAAGGAAGGTGAGTCTCTTTCCATACTTGGTTGCTAGCTCCTGGTTTTGAGGATAGAATATCTACTCATTTTTCAACGCTGCTGTTCTTTTCCAGATCTGCTAAGGAGCAGGGAGGGGGGATACTAAAATTCCTCTTGGCTAGAACAGGGGCCCTGCCTTTGGGGAGCTGCCAAGAGCTGGGAGGAATTAAGTAGTGGTGACATTACTGTCGTCTTGTGGATGGGACTCAGAGACAGAAACAGGCCTAGAGGCTACAAACTGTTTCCATCCCCAGCTGGAAGGAAGGCTCTTACTAGGGAGACCCCAGAGTTAGGGTTCATGAGATTATAGGATGCAAATTTATTTATTTATTTTAGTCTTTTTGAGACAGAGTCTCCCTGCAGCCCCAGCTGACCTGGAACTCATTATATAGACCAGGTTAGCCTCAATCTCACAAAGATCCACCTGCCTCTGCCTCCCAAGTCCTCAGATCAAAGGCATGGGCCACCACACCTGGCGTAAATTTCTTTCTGGTCTCAAAGTTGTAGTCTTCCTGCCTCAGCCTCCTGAGTGCTGGGATCACAGGCTCCTGCCATCACACCCAGCTGGATACAGGTTTCCAACAACAGTGGTTATATTCTCTCCTTAAGGTGTGTAAAGTGCAAAGTGCAGCTACCCCTTGATGCCAGGACACCCTGTGGATACCAAAATCCTCTGATGTCTAAGTCCTTATATAAAATGGTGTAGTATTTGCACATGGCCTACATGTATCCTCTTGTATACTGGTCTCTAGGTTGCTTATAATAGCTAATATAATGTAAATGTTGTGCAAATAGTTGTTATACTGTGTTGTTTGGGGGAAAGTAGCAAAAAAAGCATGTTTAGTACAATTGAAATTTTTCTAATACTTTTGATAAATCTGCAGATGTAGATAAAGAGGACCAACAGATGATCATCAGAGGGCCACAGGATTGATGAGAACACTCCAGTAAGCCCTCCATCTCCATTCTCTCTTCTCAAAACTGGGGACTATTCTAGAAAGATGAACCTGGAACCTCACCAACTAAACCTTGGTTTGCCTTTCAAAGACAGTGGTCTTTATTTCACATTCAATACAACAGTTGCTTTTAGGCTTAAAATCTGGCTTTACACACAGTCTCAAAATTTCTCAGACTGTTTATTTTTGTAGTGGAGAAATCTGGCAGACAGTATCTTTGACGAAATACAATTTAACATCACCTACAATGGAACACACTAACCTTTCATGTTCTCTGATGTGGCCTGCTGGGAAGCATGCAGAACCTATTTGATGTTCTTGCAAATAATGCTTTATTTCACATTTGACTCTCCTTAAGTGGAAAGAGATAAAATATGGGATACTTCTGCAGCATAACCGGCCTATCTTCTCTACAAATATTGACATCATGACAAACTAGCCTGGAAGCCTGGTGTGGTGGTACACAACTGAAATTCTGGCACTTGGAAAGTACAGGCAGTAGGATTAGGAGTTCTAGGTCACCCATGGTTACATAATGAGTTTGAGGTCAGCCTGGGATATATTTCTATTTGAGATTCTGTCTCAAAACTCAAAAACAAAACAAAATTCAAAATTAAGCAAAATGATAGCAGCAATGAAAGCAGCCCAAAAGACAAAAATGCCTGGAGAATTTTTCCAGGCTAAAAGGCCCTAAAGAGATGTGACAACTAGATTCAATGCATGGTCCTGAGTTGAATTTTAGTTCAGCGGGGGAAAGAAGCTATACGGAAAACATTGTTGGTATAATTAGATAATTTTGCATATGGGTTTTTATATCGGAAAACAGTATCTCACTAATGTTAACTTTTCTTGAGTCTGTAGTTAGGAGAACAATGTTGATAAAATGTATAATGTCTGCAATGTTCTTGCAGATAGTGCGACAATAAAATAAGATGTGTGTGTATGTGAGGACATAAAAGCTGGCTTCATTTCTGTGATTTTAAATGTGACATGACTCAAGACTGAGTAAGTAATGGGCATGTGGCCACTCTGTGGCCATAAGACAGTCTCCCTTTCAGCTCTTCATACTCTTGTACCAGGACTGTGGGAGACAGAGTGCCATGAAACAACATGCCTCCTTTGGCCGCTCCTATTTTTCTCTGTCAGGTGTCACTGTTGCTCAGGCTGGCTTTGAATTTCCAATCCTCCTTGAATTTTCTTTCTTTATGCATGTACTACTAGCTTGGGTTATAATTTATACTAACTCACCTTGACATAGAGACTTTTTAAGGCATAGTGGCCAAAGATGAACAAACTCTAGATCGTCAGCCCCTGGTGGGTGAAGATGGCAGCTCAAAATGAATAGAGTGCAGGATGAACAACGCTAAAGTGAAATTTACCCACGTTGTCATTAATCTTGGTGGCTCTGGCCGTGTACTTGATGTGGTGAACCACAGGTGGACAGCTGACATTTAATGATTCTTGCCTACACTAGATTTTTTTCAAAAGGAAGCTGCAAAGTCTTTAGAATGATGAACCTTCATATAAAAGATAAACATAAGCCTCTGCCCAATAATATATGTTTCAAGAACAACTTGCCCTACATTCTTCATTGTGTTTATTCTGAAGGTCAGTGAAGGATGATGGGCAAGACAGCATGGGAAGGTCCTGAGATGCAATCCCAGCAAGGCCATTTAAGAGCTGTGTGACTTCTAGTAATTCACTTAGCTCTTGGCATGTCCATTTTCTGGGCTGTAAGATGAGGACAGACTGGATTGCTATGAAATGTACCTGAGCTAATACATATTAAAAACCAAGGACAGAACCTGGTGCAGTGGGAGAGCTCAGTACAAGTTAATGTGTGTCCTTTTATTTCCAGCTGCAGTGGTCAGAGATTACCTGCCATTTGTGAGCCTGCTGTCTTGTACATGCCTTTAGAAGGAGGCTCAGGTTTCTGAAAATGGAGAACTCTCTACCTAAGCCCATCACTTCCAACCTATTTCCTGCATTAAAATATGTACTTAGATGCACCCATGTGCATAATTTCTAACAGCTGTATGATGTTCTGAAAACTGTGATGACTTTAATCAATATTATAGACTTTAAAATGAATAAGTACATAAAAGATTAGAAATGTAATTTCCTTGTTAAAAATAGGATTAGTTACAGGGCATGCAGCAAATTTTCAGTCAGTTTAGTGCCATTTTATATCTAAAACCAGAAAACATGGGGGGATGATTTAGTAAGAAATTGGCAAGCTAGACACTAAGTTAGTTGAGCTAAAGCACCTGTGTTAGGCAGGTGCTTCTTGAACAAAAGTCATCTTCAAATGGTGGGGGAAGAACCAACCTCCCTTGCAGCCTCCCTTCTCTTGGCTGAGGGCCCTGCTGTGTCTTGCTTTGCTTCCCTTTAGAGTGAGGTTCCTGTGGGATGCAGGAGGGAGAGAGGAGCTACCTTGAGGCAGCGGTGTGCTTAGGCCACTATCCACTGGGAGATGCACGGTTATCCCCCTTGGTCTTCCTAAGTACATATGCTTCAGGGGAGGCCGCCATAAAGGTGTGGTTTCTTCTGGTTCTGGTTCTGGTGCAGGGTGCTGAGCACCTAGGAGACAAAGAGACAACCAAGCTGTTTTTGCCAGGTGTCTCCTCTTTTTTAGGACCCTGCTTGTATAATGTGGTTTGGATGAAGTTGTACGCATTCTGACTCCAGAGGTGGGCATGTGACTCAGCCTGGATTATAAGAAGCCCTCGTTGTCTTAACCAGTGATTGGTGCCAGGGCAGGAACGTGACCTAAGCCTGACTGGGTCTGGGGGGAGGCGATGCTAAGGAGTTAAGCAATCTTCCTGTGCAAGAATTCCTAACAGCTTTGGAACAAAATGGTCTCCTGTAAGATTTCCAGGAGTCAAAACTCTTTAAGAAATCAGAAGCAGTTTCTGCTGAAGTTTCTAGAAAGCTCTGACTCCCTTAGAATCAGAGTCATTTTTGTCTCAGACTGCCCAGCAAAGTCCAAGGAGCAAGAATCTGTATTAGGCAAGGGTACAATAAAATGATTCTCAAACAAATGAATGAATGAATGAATGAATGAATGTAAAAATGAGGGGCTGGAGAGACAGCTCAGAGGCTCAGAGCACTGACTGTTCTTACAGAGGACCTGGGCCAACAACCATCCACAATTCCAGTTCCAGGGGATCTGACACCCTCTTCTGGCCTCCATAGCATTGCTCAACATGGGTGCACTTACATACATGCAGGCAAAACATACACATAAACTTAAAATAAAAAAATTTAAAATAAAAATGTTTCGTTGGGCAATTTAAAATAAAATGTTTCTTTTATCTTTCTTTAATAAGCTGAAGGTCCAAATACCCAAGAATTCTTTTTAAAATGATTTATTTCTTTTTATTTTATGTGTATGAGTGTTTTGCCTGCATGTATGTAAGTGCACCCATGCATGCAATGTCCATGGAGGCCAGAAGAGGTTGTCAGATTCCCTGGAACTGGAGTTTCAGATAGTTGTTAGCCACCAATGTGGGTACTGGGAGACAAACCCAGGGCCTCTGCAAGAGCAGCCAGTGCTCTTAACCACTGAGCCATCTCCCCAGGTCCCAAATATCCAAAAATTCTTTTAACTTTGGCTACCAAGAAACTCAGCTAAATAAATCCAGCATTTACCCAAAGCACTAACTTCATTCCAAGTTAACAGCAATTTCTGTTTTTTTTAATCAATTTTTTTCTTTTCAATTCTATTTTCAGTTGTCTTGTTTTATATTTATTTTTTGTAAGCTCCTCGAAAATGCCTGTATCTTTATAAATCTACGATGCACTAGATTTATTTATGTATATGCCTCTTTTCATTTCTCTTTTAGTTTGGCAAAATGAATTGCTTCATGAAGGGCTCAATAGATAGTCACAAAATTGAACTGGATATTTTCAGAAAAGACCTGTATTTTACTGTCTTTTCTTCTTCTGGAAAAGATTTTCTGGAGCAGAAGACCCCAGAAAGCTCAGCCATCACTTAGGGACTGAGTGGATAGGCAGGATCCCAGCTCTCAGTCCTCTCTGGCTTGACCAATTTTTAAGAGATACCATTTGCAATGAACCTACCTCTTCTACAGGCCTTTGCTTTTGGGGGCTGTGGAGTGTGGAAATGAATCTCCATCGGGATGACGAAGAGCTCTATTGGGGGTTCATTGGCTTTAAACTGGCTCCTCAAAGGGTTGAGGACCCTGGGTTGTTCTTCTGAAATAGGAGGTAATTTCAGAGCCTTTGGTGCCTGGAGAAAGTTTAAACACAAAATCAACATGGCACGTATCCAAACTCCATTGCCTGCAGGGGGCAAATGATTTTGTGTCTTGTATTTATTGTACAAAGAGCTGCTAGAGGAAGCAAATGTTATCTGGGAGCTGGGTACTGATTGCAGTGGGCTGGCTTTGCTGTCTTCTCTTGGGTTCTTCATGTATGCCCTCATCCTCCTGTCTGATTCTTCTCAGTGTTATCAACATGATCAATTCAAGAGCCTCTGAGAAAGCCAGGTGTGGTGGTCCACACCTGTCATCCCGGCAATTGGAAATTGGAGGCAGGAGGATCAGGAGTTCTAGGTTGTCCTCAGTGAAAGAACACATTCAAGGCCAGCCGGGCTATATGAGACCCTGCCTCGAACTCCCCTCTTCCTTACCTTTGAGAGAATAGCCTCTCTTGTGATTTGGGAAAATGATATGGACTGAAGTGACCTAGTTGGGATTTCGGTGTGAGAACTCTCCAAATACGCTGTTAAGGGGAAACACAAGATGCAGAACATTCCTTGACTTCAAGAAGGGGCAGAAAATAGGACTAATCATTTGTGCTTGATTAACTTTAATAGCTCTTCTAAGCCTCAAGTTCTTCCTCTTTAAAATAAGAGTACTTAGACTACCTGCGCTGCAAGATTGGAAGAAGATTAAATGAATTAATGTATATAGCCACAATAGTGCTTGGAATTTGGATTGCTTCTATAAGAGTGTGTGTGTGTGTGTGTGTGTGTGTGTGTGTGTGTGTGTGTGTATGTGTGTGTGTGTTGCTGGGGATGGAACCCAGGTGCCTGCTAGGCAAGCACAGTACTACTGTGTTCCATCCCCAGCCTTGGTTTTTTTTTTTCCCTTTTTCAGTCTTGATTTTTTTGAGGCAGGGTTTCACTATATGACCTAGGCTGGCTTTGAAATGAACTGCCTCCCAAGCGCTGAGATTACAGGCACACTCCACCACACCTGGAATCTAAGTTTGTGTGTGTGTGTGTGTGTGTGTGTGTGTGGAGACTGGCCTCTCTTCTCATTAGTGTTCAATATCTATTCTGGCCCTTAACAGAAAATCCGTTTCTAAACAGTCCTGTACTATCAACACAACTGACAACAAGAATTACTCTGTAACAGTGTCAACAATGAATTTGGCTCAGTTTTTCCTTTT